TGTTAATGGAGTTTGGGGGCTAAAGTCTCTGATCTGAGGCTTGGCTTTCTGTCCTAAAGGGAAGGAGCTTCAATCAGCCTGGCCACTCAGGGACAGACAGAACAAGAGAAGCAAGATCTGGCTTCCAAAGGCTGGGAGAAGCTATGGTATTCATGCAGCAACAAAAGCAAAGGTTGGAGGGTTGCAAAGACTGGAGCTTGTCCAGCTGGCAGTAGAAGTACCCGAGTTACGTCCTGCTCTGGTTGATGGCATTAGAACTGGCCCTGCCAGGTTCTAGCAGAGCTGGCGTAACTCCAGGGGAGGATGTGGTTCTCATCTGGACAGGGCAGCTCCTGCTTCAGAGGGCAGCCTTGTTCCTCTCATGGAGTCTTAGTCACTTTCTAGTCACTAGGACACAATACTGGATACCTTCAACTTTAGAAAAAAGAAAGGTCTATTTTTCCCCATTGCACTATAAGCAGACATTTCAATCCATAGTTACCCAGTTCCAAGGCACAGAAGCAGGACAGAGAACCACGACAGAGGAGAAACGTGGCATCAGGCATGGCACCAGGAAACAGAGATCAAGCGAGAAGGCAGGGAGATGGAAGCTTCCGAACAACACCGCAGTAATGCACCTCCTCCTACCATTTATCTATAAAATCATCAATGGACTCATCCATTGATGATGAGCAAAGTCCCAATATCCAGTCACCTCTGCAAAGGCTCTATTTGCCCTGAGTTTAAATGGCCATTCTCATCCTACTTTAAGACTGAGGACACCCAAAGCAGAGTAACTAAAGTAGTTTCAAGGAGATTAGGGGGCCAAAGAGGAAAGTGATCAATGATGTAGAGTGTGCCTAAGGAGAGTCCCATGGAGAGAAAACATTCTCTCAGGCTTTCACAGAGAGACATTGGCCAAGCGATGGCCGTGACTCACCCATATGGCTGACACTGACAAAGGTTCTACAATCTGAGGTACAGGATCTCAGGATAAATCCTGAGGGGATTTCACTGACCTTATCAGACCCCAAAACTACAACTCTTGTTGCATAAGTCCTGCTTTACCTTGGTCTTAACCATTCAGCAGAAAAATATAAAAATGAAATATGAGAAGTAAAGCCATGCTGTTATGTTGAGCTGTAGGGGACTCAGGTCAACAATTTCTGACACTGCCAGTCAAGCGGAAGACCCAATACTATTATGGACTACTGAGCTCTTTCAGAATATTTTGCTGAGTTTACACACCTATAATATTTAAATGATGGACTAATCAAAAATGGGGATACAGATGAATGTTCATTTTGTTTCTGTGTATTCAAAGTGGTTAGGATAGATATATAGTTACATTCTCTTAAAGAATAGAGGGATTTGTTCTAATGGTGTTTGTAAATAGGATATCATGTCCGCATCTTGTACAGCAATTAACCACTAGGAAGAATGTATGCTACATGTTAATTATTGAAACTGTCCTACCAATTTGGTTTGAAACTGTCTCATTGCTATTTGTTTCTCAATAAAATTATGGAAAAAAAAGTAGTTTTCAGGGTTTGCAGTGACATCCAGTTGCCTATGAGAACTTGAGGCTTTCGGGGGACATCCAGAAATAAAGCGTCACATGCAGTAATTGCTTCTGCTTGGGAAGTGATCTCATCATGGGGTAGCCTGTAAGGCTCTGCATTTCTTGGACTCTAAGGTGGCTGCAGGTTTAGAACAATGGCTGGAGACTTTTAGGCCCTGCTCCAGGGGGCTTCGAACTGGATGTTTTTAAAGCTGGCAACTGGATATCACCACAATCCTGGAAACGACTTTAGTTACTCTGCTTTGGGTGTCCTCAGTCTTAAAGTGGGATGAGAATGGCCGTCGAAACCCAGGGCAAATAGAGCTTGTGTTAGACACTTGTAGTGGATTGCTAACTGGTAGTCAACCTGTTACACGCAGCTGAATTAACTAGTGTGGTGCTGGGTGTGGAAGGCCAATCTGAGGACTGCTGCCAGCAGCATAAGAGGCAAATGGGAGGAGCTGCTGAGAAGCTCCGGGAAAGCTGTTTGGAGAAGCTGCTGGAGCTGTTGGAAGCTGCTGGCTCTCTTGGGCAACTCTGCTGGAGGACCTTGTCATGCTGGCTTTCCTGATGAACTTGGCTGCTCTCTGCAGGGGAGGAGCTTGGGATCTCATTGTTGCTCAGAATGGCTATGGTTCATTTGGGGGTGCTCCAGTCCTCATCCTGAGTATCACTTCCTGTCTCTAGAGGGGAAGATGGTGCCCTGCTCAGCTTTTTGGATAAGCTTGTTCTGTTAGCTTTCCTGATGGGAACTCAGCTTTCCTCATCGCTGGAGGAGCTCAGGACCTTGCTATTGTCATGGCAGTGGTACTTTTGTGGGGAGCTCTGGTTCTTACCATGAACATTGCTTCCTGACTCCAGTTCAGATCCCTCAGCCTGCCAGCACAAATCCTTCACCCAGTTGGCATAGGCTTCCTAGCTTCCACTATTGACCTTTGGCCCTTTCCAGCACAGTTCCGTGAAGCAGGCCTGCATGAGACATCGTTGTGGGTTCTAGGCCTCCAATTGGATGTGTGGGAGGCATTGTTACAGCTATAGGTTTTCTACTGGACTCAGGCAGGATATTAGGATCCAGGCCCTCAGCTGTGTTCTTTGGACTTCAGTGTGTAGACAGATTCCTGTACTCCTTGTATATGGTTGTTTGGGTGATTATAAAATAATCTTATAAAATGTGTCCTGTATTTTATTGTTCCCCTTGCGAAAAACCCAAACCATGACAACGCTCCTTTAAGTAATTCACAGATTTATGTACAGAGCTGAGTCGAATCTGACTCAAAGCGTCAAGGCCTTGCTTGCTTCTTCCTATTCTTATTTACCCATGGGGCGTCTGCAAGCCCAGCCTCTAGGTCCCTGATACATATTCATAAATAATAGTCTGCCAGAATTCAGATGCAGCCACCAGAAATCACTGTTTCTGAAATCGGCTATTTTTAAATGAAAGAGAAGAAAAGGATTAAATATGGAATATTGGGAACCTAGAAAATCTTTGAGAGGAATGGAGGAGCCAGGCCCAGGCTGGGCATTAAAGAAACAAAACAACGATGGGATACGATAGTGATACACACCTATAATCCCAGTGCTTCAGGAGGAGGAGACAGGAGGAATACAAATTTGGCAAGACAGCCTAGACAACTTGGCAAGACCTCGTCTCAAAAGTAAAACAAAAATGGGGTAGGTATGTAGCTCCGAGCAGATGCCCTGGCTTCAACTTCCAATACTGCCAGAAAGAAAACAAAGGAAACACCACAGCACCAGTGAACCAGAAATTTTGATGTCTGCCAGAGTCAGCTGACGCCCTCTGGCCTAAAAGAGGGCCAGGGAGTAGGAAACAACTATGAGGTCTTTTTGAGCAACTGAGCCAACGACAGGAGGGAAAATCCTGGTGGAAGTCCATGCTGAGGGTGGAAAGGGGTCCATTCTGCCTTAGTCATGACCAAGTCTAGAAGCTGTGCAGATACTCAGTAGAGGTACCGAGGAAGTAGTGGGGACGCATGTCTGGAGCCTAAACGTAAGCTTGAGACTCATATTGAAGGGGTCCTATACTATGTAGAACTGGCTGAAAGTTGCTTTCTTTTTTTTTTTTTTTTAACTCTCAGTTTTACCATGAGTTCATCAACTTCTTGAGAGACGATTTAACTACACACTCCCTTCTTTGTTTCTCTTTCAGAATTCAAGACCAAGTTAATCTAGATTTTCCCTCCAAAATTCCACTCTCAGGGGCTGTTTACTTTTCCTGGCCCCAGCCTGTCCCTGAAGGACAGACACTTTCTCTCAATAAATTCTTCCTACTCTTAAAAAAAAAAAAAAAATCTACTCACAGCGCTCCCAGACAGGCCCTGGGGTCACCCAAGACCAAAATTTAAAGCACTTTTTATGTTTTTAGTTCTTGCTGCAACATTTCGCATCATTGACAGCTTCCTAATTCTTTGTGTGACTCTTGGGGACACCCTGCACTGTACCTAGCAGGATCTGGGCAGAGGTCACAGGTGAAGGACAGAAACAAGCATCTTAGCAGCTAACAACAAAGCAACCCGGAGCAAGCCCAGCAGACCCAGCAAGCCCAGGCTCTCGCCGACCTGACTGGAGAATGGAAGGTCCAGAGAAGCTGCAGAGTTCTGGACCTTACTACGGCTCCTCACCTTCCGGCAGCAGGCCAGTGGCCTTGGATTCATTCAGATCACAAGCTGGGGGAGGCTGCTGGCTGCGTCCCCAAGCGGGCGCTTGACCAGTGAGCCAAAAATCCTCTTTTGAGTCCTGAAGCTGCATTACAAAGGCATCCCGGGTCTCCAGCAATCCCTACACAAACACAGCTCAAAGACTCCCAACTTCAGGAAGTTTTAGCGTTTCCGGAAACAAATAATTCAGTAATCTGGAATCCAACGTTTAAAACAAATCTGGCTCATCCTTCAGCATTATTTCCAGTAGAACGTAAACAGGGTAAACACACCGGTTTATTTCTTCTGTTCCTCAAGAGAGTAAGTCCTCTGAGTTGGCACACAATGGCTGGAACAGCCTGTTTTATTCTAGAAACACTTTCCCCTGACGCAGAAGAGCTTGTACAGAGAAACAGCCTGGCTAGGGAGGGATCTGGAAAAGACATGCACTTATGGGATATGCCCATCCACATGCAAACATGGAATAGGAAAGCATGCCGCCGCAGTGTGCGCATACACACACACACACACACACACACACACACACACCCTTAAAGGACCTGCCCCGCCCCCCACGCACACTCTCAGGCCCGAGAGCCCAGGCACAGGGAAAGTCAGAAAAGGCCAAGGTAAGAGGACTTGAGACCTTCACTTGACACCAAGCAGGCGGTCCACCAGAGGCAGGATTGTAGGTTGTGGGTCGCTACTGAATACTTGGACTGTGTCCCAGTGGAGCAGGGCGGACCCGACTCTAAGCCGGTAGAGGGTATGGGGCGGGGGCGGGTCCTGGGCGTGGTCGGGGCGGGGCCAGGCGGGCGGCCTCCGGCTGCGAGATCAGCGGGTAGCTGCTCTGGCTGCGCTGTGTGGGCCTTCCGGTGGCGAGTGTGGGTCGAGGCCGCTGCACCCCTGGCAATGGCGCTGCGCGCGGCCGTGTTCGACCTTGATGGGGTCCTGGCTCTGCCCTCGATCGCCGGCGCCCTCAACCGTGCGGAGGAAGCCCTGGCGCTGCCCAGGTAAGGGGACCGGCGCTGCCTCAGCCTCTGGTCCGCACCATAGCGGGCAGGACCCCTGCCTCGGAGGTGCCATTCTGAGCTTCAGCCCTGGGTGAGCATGGCTTTTGGGCCTGAGCTCCGCGAGAGGTCGGAATGATTGCTGGCCCTAAAATAGCAGCGTGCTTAAGTGGACCCATTGTCTTTCTAAATGCTAAGAAATTAAACCCTGCCAAAGACTCCGGAATTGCACCTTACACTGAAAGCTTCCAAAAGGGATGGAATTATCGGCTGCTGCGCTTCCGTTCTCTCGCTTGGCGAGGTTCTTAGAACTTTCCCTGCGATTTACAAAAGGAGAAAGTGCTCTCCCATGGCCTGTGCTACAGGTGTGCTTGGTGTAGCGGAGACCTGCAGGGACAGCCTCAGCCTACGAACAGGGAAATGGGAAAGTGAGCGCGATGTTCAGGATGAGGGTCTGCAGCGTCAGAAAACGCCTGGGCTGCGGAACAGCACAACCGCCAGGCATAGAATTACGCAATGGGGTTGCGGCCGCGGGAAGAGAAAAGGCTGCATACAGAAAGTGTCTGGGGAAACCTGCTAACGTACGCTTGAAATTATTCATTCCAGGTAGATTGGTGAATTTTTTTTTTAATTTTCTATTAATGCTAGACGGTATTGTAAGTGGTTTTACTTTTCTACATTTCTGTATTTTCCCATATCTTTTATTTTCAAACATGTATTACTCCTACAATCAGAAGGAGAGGTGAATATACATTTTAAAAGTCTTTTAAAAAGAGAGAGTAAGATCACAGTGGGAAGGGAAGAAACAGCAAATCCTAAATTACAGGGGAAAGAGAGAAGCAGGCCTGAAGCTGTGCGTCCAGAGTTCGGCCACATCAAGGTTTCTAACATTTTTATGATACCAAGGCCGACAGGGCTCTTTAGCCCTTTATACTGTACAAATCACAGAATGTGTGTATTACACACATCTGCAAACGTGCTGGGTCGAAAGGGGGCTCAAAGTCTCCAGGAACCCCCACTTCTGCAGGTGTGGACGCAGAGGTTGAAGGAGAGTAACATGCTTTGGGTCACAGTTAACCCCCGGCAGCTCTGGAGCCCAGTGTTCTGCACACACACACATACACACACACACACACACACTGTCTCCTCTAACTTCCTTCCTCTCCAGCTTATCATGACTTCGCACCTCCCTCAGTTGCCATTCTGTGACTGGTTCAGTTTGTTGAAGATGAATAAATATATCATTGAGAAACATAAACAAGCAGGCTACAAAGTCCACGATCAGAATAATCACACTCCAGGTAATTAGGAGTTGACTGAGAACCAGACTTGGAAGTGGAGAGTCCCCTCTGAGCCATGCTGCCCAAATCAGGGCATTTGCTTCAGGAGTCTAGAATTCTTATGACCCCAGGTAGGTGCTTATGCCCCTGAGCTATGTCCCTGGCTTTCTTACAATACCAAAGAGGTATCTTAAGATACCAACAGAGGTGAGGAAGGAATAAGGAACTCATTTCCAAGTAGTCCTTTCTAACAATAATGTTGTCTTACTTCATTTTGACTCATAAGTTTGACCTGAGAAAAAGAGGACACCCTAGGCATATAGCTCATCTGTGCAAAGCCTGCCCAGCAAGCTGGACATCATGAATTCGATGCTATAAGGACATGTGACCTCATGTGACCCCCCCAAGCTAGAGTGATAGCAACTTATATCCAAGGCACAGATGTGCAGGTGTTGGCTCCTGAAAGCTGTGGGTGTTCAGACTCAGACTAGGAACACACCTCAGTTCTGACACGTGGGTGGGTGACTGACTTAATCTCTACCTTCCCCTGTTTTTGTTAGGAGTAAATGAGATGACATGTAAGATGGGCACTCAGGTATGCTTTGGATATCTTTTTACTTATAAAAGCATCACCCATGTGTAAATGATGCATTGGGTATATACCATTTATTAGACCCTGCGTTCAAATGATACCTTTGGGACCATGGTTAGAACTGTTCCCAGTTGACATAAAACAGGTCACAGCAAAGCCAACTAAATTCAGGGAGTAGAATACATGACCTTGACCTTATTAATCTATTAGTAAACTGGTGAGAGGCAGGAAACAGAGTCTCATGGTAACACGAAGGGCTTGGGAGCTTGGAAGTCAACAGTTTAGGGTGAGAGAAAGCCTGCTGGGCCTGCAGTAGGAGACAGCAAGACTTGAGCTTGGGGTTGGAGATTCCCTGGCATGGAGCTGAAGAACCTAGGCTGTGGGGGAGCCTGGGAATCTCATACTGAAGTTGTGAGGCGAGGAACACGAGGGATCTTTCTGAGAGCATGGAGATGTTCTAAACGATTTCAAAAACTGTAAAGTTTGCACCACTCTCAGTGGACTCCAAATAATTGACTTATACACTGAAAATGGGAATTGGGTGTGCACCTCAGTAAAGCTGTTTGGTAATGTTGATGCAAAGATGTGGCAGGGCCCCTGCTCAAACAAGAAAGTTGCACAAGGACACAAATGTGTGGTGTCTGTCTTTTTATATTTTGCCCATGGGGTTCAAACTGTGGCACCACCTGCAGCACCATCCCTGCCCCTGGCGTGCTGAGCCAGGGACCATGTCCAGGGGTGGTGGCGCACGCTTGTAATCCCAGTGCTGGGGAGGCTGAAAACAGGAGGATCACTGTGAGTCCGAGCTGCATAGTGAGACTGTGTACCAAATACATATAAATAAGTAAAGTAAATAAATAAATTTTGCTCAGATTGGATCCTCTTTGTTACCTGAGGAAGGCTGGTCTGATGAAGGTACTGACTACTACCAGAAATACAACCCCCAGGTTGGAGGGATTTGTTTCCTATTCAGGGATGGTAAATAGTTACAGCAGTGACAGACTGGTTGGCTTTAATCAGAAAACAGTTCTAGAGGTTAAAAGGCCAAGATGTAGGTGTCAGGGTTGGCTTCTTCTAAGGCCTCTTTCCTTGGTTGTAGGTGACCATCTTCTCCTTGTGTCCCCATGTGATCTTCCTGTGGAAATTTCCTCCTACAGGGACACCAGGCATGCAGGGTTAAGGCTCACCCTGGTGACTTCTTTTCATTTCATGATCTTCTGAAACAGTCTCCTAATACAGTATACAGACATTATGTGATACTAAGCACTAGCATTTTGCTGTAGAGTTTCAGGAGGAGGTTTATTTTGACTCTTAACCCAGGAAACATCTAAAAGTTTAGAAAATGAGACTAAGATAAAATAGTAGCTATATGTGTATAATTGAAACCAGAGAAAAACCTTCAATTCCTTTTGAAGAGTGTCACCTAGAAAGTGGCTCCATGCAGACAGAGATGCCAGCAGCTCACCTTTCTGCCAGCTGTCATCTGTGAATGTAAATCACGTCTGACTGTCTGACCGTGTGCTGCGTGATGGGTCACCAGGATATCTGTGATATGGTTGTTTCTCGTGTCTTTTTTTTTTTTTAATGTATTTAGTGCAGGGTCTACAGGGTCTCACTACTCAGATCATACTCGTAGTGATCCTCCTGTTTTTAGCCTCCCAAGTGCTGGGATTACAGGTGCTAACCACCACATCCAGTCTCAATCACTGTCTCAGTGCACTCCAGGGGTGGGGCTGCATGGCACACCAGGGATCGAACCTTGGTCACTGCACCTGCCTAAGCAGGCGCTTTAGTCTGCTGAGCTATCTGGCTGGCCCTCTTGTGTCTTTCAGGGACTTTCTGAATGATGCTTTCCTGACAGAAGGCATGAGTGGTTCCAGCGCCCGCCTCATGAGAGGAGAGATCACATTTTCCCAGGTGAGAGGACCCCTGGGGGGCATTCTCTGCTGCCTCCTGCCCCTCACCCAATGTAAGCCCCTTGAGGGCAGGGCCCTGTCTTCTTCACCTGTGTGCCCTTTGTGTCTTGTAACTCACAAGACCAACCAGAAGACGAGAGACATCTGAAGGGGCATTCAGGACTGGTTTGCAGCCTCACTGAGCCAACCAGAGGGACATTTCCAAGCCCTTCATGAACTGGGCCAGAGATCACTGCAGCCAGAAAACTTGGAGGACAGAGCCATGGAACCTAGTATCTCAGAAAATGATAGTTCATCATGGTTGTCACGGTCACTGGATTCACAGATGCCTGGCAGATAAGGACTGTGTCCTTCTGGGTGGGCCTGGGTGGGCCATGGAGGTGCAGGATGACCTTGGCTCCCTCCAGTCCCTGGCCCTTTCTTTTGGGGCGCTGTTCTGCTCTGATTTCGTGCTGCCAGGAATGAAGCGATCCTGCCGGGTTCCACCCTGCACCACAACATTCCTGACTTGGCGCTGCCGATCACAGACTAAAACTTACAAAACTGTGAAGCGCATACACCTCTCCTCCATTAAGATGTAGTTGTCAAGTATCTTGTCCCAGGAGTGCAGTATAATAGGGGGGTTGGGAGTCGGCGACCAGGGTCTGAATCGTAGGTCCCACTTGCAGACCCTGCGACCACTGCAGGTTACTTCATTTTCCAGAGTCTCGGTTGTGCCTTCTGTAAGGCGGAGTGATAGCACTACTCATCTCGTGGTGCCAGGAAACATGGAAATGCTTAATGCGGGCGGCTAATACATAGTAGGCACTCAGTAAGTGGGAGTGTTTCTCGGTAGTGTAACGTCAGGTACTTCCAACAAAGTAAACAGAATCTAACACCACTTGAGTTCTCTGTCAGTGCTTCTCTAAGAAAATAAGATATTGAGAATCTGCTTATAAGCACCCAATTTAAAAATGTTATATTTTGAAAAATGTTAATAAATCCCATCTCTTTGCTAGAGAATTCAGGACCCACTGTGACAGACAGTAGAGTCTTTCCTTGTTTGCGTAGGTGAATGTGACATCAGTGTGGGGAGTGTTACAGGACGACTGTGGTGATGATACAGGAACAAACACTGCTGAAGTTTTCATCAATTGAAAAAACAGTGATAATTCTAGGAATGGCAGGGAAGAGAGAAGTGCTGTGTATTTTTAGTGAATGCAGGGATTTTCGGAGAGTTTCTAGAAGTCAGCATGAAACCCCATGCCCCACTCAGACCCTTCAGTGGTCTTTGTGGCTTCTGTGACTGAGTGACACTTCCACGAAGCCCACACGGGTCGAGAACGACATCTGAGAAGCTGTGTGCTGCTGTGATAAAGTCTCCTTGAGCTTGAACTGTCCTGAAAAGTCAGATCCTAGAAGTGACCGTCACCTTTCGACTGTACATTTGTGTAGACTGTGGAAACAAAAGCGCACACGTAGTGTTCCGGTGGATGATTTTCACAAACTGAATGTACGTAGGCCATCAGCACCCAGGTCAAGACAGAAAGCCCGAGCATGCGCCCGGTGGACCCCACCCGCCCCAGTCACGCCCACCTGGCTTCTATCCCAGCACCACTCTTGCCTGTTTGGGGAGTTGTATGAGTGGACTTACATGGACAAGGCCTTGTGTGTCTGAGTTCGTGTGCTCAGCATCACGCGTGGGGTTCACAGAGCCGTGACACGCAGCGGTAGGGAGTGTTCTTCCACTGCTGCAGGGCATTCCACAGCGTGACTGTGTCTCAGTCCGCTGACCCACTGTGTTCCTAGTGGGTATCGGTAAGTGTTCACTTGGTGGTCTCACATAGCCTACTGCTATGATGGTGGGCCTAACCCACAAATCATCCTGCTGTAGTGAGTGTGGTAGCTTGCTGGGGCCATGGCTGCCGCTTTAGCAAATCAGCACAGGCTGGGTAACTTTGACACAAATATTTACTTCTCGCAGTTCTTCAGGCTGGAAAATCCAAGATCCACACAGGGTTTATGTCTGGGCAGGACTCTCCTCCTAGTTTCTTGTTGTATCCTCACACGGTGAAAAGCGAAAAGAGAAGAAAGCTTCCTTTGTCTTTCTATAAGGGCGCCTGTTCCACTCAGGGGGGCTCCCACTCACTGGGGCTCCATGGTCCTGATTCGCTCGCCTCAGAGTCCCACCTCCACACACCACCACCTTGCAGAGGAATGCTTCCACAGGTGCATTTTCAGAGCCACACAAATAGTTAATCCAGAGTGACACACTGAGCGGCTTAAACAGAAGAAATTTCTTGCAACTCCTTAGGCTGGAAGTTAGCACCGTGAACACACCACAAGGCTGCTTTTTTCTGACTTCTCTCTTACTTGCAGATGGTGGCCTTCTGGTGGCACCCACTCTTGGCTTTCTGTGTGTGTGTGTGTGTGTGTGTGTGTGTGTGTGTGTGTGTGTGTGTGCTTCATAGCCCTAGAGTGAAACACCTGAGGCATTTATTTATATAGAGAAAAAAATAACTCACATATCTAAAGATTTCAGTCCAACACCGAACAGCCCCACGAGCTGGGACATTGGCAAGGGCCAGCATCGTGACCGACGCTCAGTACACAAAACCTCTTACAACAGGCAACAGGAAGCAGAAGACAGAGGGCAGATTATGGGAGTCCACAGCCTGCTTAGGGGCATGCCCGAGTGACCTAAGGACCTGCCGCTACGCTGTCCTCCCAGCAGCTCCATCACCTCCCAACAGAACTACCCTGAGGCCCAGGACTAGCCATGGACTTCAGGGGACAGGGCCCCTATGCTAGTCATAGCAGTGTGTCTCCGTCCAGCTGTCTTCTTGTTAGGAGGGCATCAGTTCTACTGGGTTAGAACCCAGCCCAGGGACCTCATTATACCTGAATTCTCTCTACAGAGACCTTTCCTCTAAATATATCTTAATGTATATTTGGTTAGCACATCAGATGTGTGCATTTTGAAGGGACATAACTCAAGCCTGTAACAGTGGGTGCTTTTATTATTTTATTATTATTTTATTATCTGGGGCTTGTTAGTATGTGAATGTTCCTGCCCTCCCCATAGAGTACTGAAATCATCACCCTAAGGTGGTGGTCTTAGGATAAGAAGCTTTTGGGAAGAGTGGAAACCTTAGCAAGGGTCCTAGGAAAGAGACCCCAGAGGGCCAGCTGGCCCCTTCTGCCTTGTGAGGAAAGTAAGAAGCCTGCCGCGCACCCCGCTCCCCTGGCTCTGAAGCAGGAAATGACGGTGAGACAGGGATGTTCCGAGTAGTGCCACCATGACAATGCTGCTGGGTCCCTCAATCCAGCCGCACTGCTGGGAGTGGGTGTGTGGGTAGTTTCTGGTGTGCGAATGTTAAGAAAAGTATAGCTGAGAATATTTTGTCCACGTCTTCGGGGGAGCCCACATGGACCTTCCCAGTGGACGCATACCCAGGAGCAGCACTGTGGGTCACAGGGAATGCGTATGTGTGGATTTAGTAGAGATGGTCACAGCTCTTCTAGTGTCTACAACCACGGACATGCCCCCTGCTTCACCCCCACAGTGGGTGCCACTCATGGAAGAAAGCTGCAGAAAGCGCTCCGAGGCCTCTGGAATCCACCTCCCTGAGAATTTCTCCATACACCAGATCTTCGACAAGGCAATTTCAGCAAGAAGTATCAACCGCCCCATGCTGCAGGCCGTGCAGGCTCTCAGGAAGAAGGGTAAGGCTCCTGTGCCGGCTGCTCGCTGGCCCGACTGCAAGGGCCAGGGCCCAGAGACAGCTAAACGTGTCTTGAAATCTTTGGTCTTCTGGGCCCTGATGGAAATCCACCCTTAAAACTGGACCCCAAGATGAATTTTATCAAATGCCAAAACCAGCACCATTCGAATACTTGGAAAAATGACAGAATTTGATCTAATGAGGCAATTTGTGTCAGCGACTGCCTTATGAGCATTTCTCTGTCCTTGCGCTGGTCCTAGACATGACAAGAATGATTTACAATTTTGTCACAGGTTTTAAAATAAGGCTTTTTAAGTAGCTGTGATTCGCTTGCCCTGTGGGCATCAGAGTAACTGAGCAGCGACCTGGCTGGCACAAGCTTAGATCCTGTGAATGACCTCAGACAACCGATTACATTCATCCAGTAGTATTTATTAGTGTCAGCGCCTGGTACTTCTCCACAGGCACGTGTGATGTCATCACGCTCTCTAATCTGCAGGCTCACGTGGCTGAGGCTGTGCCACCTGTCTTAGTCCAATTTGTGCCGCTCTAACAATAACTGGACCAGGTCCTGTGGAAATGACAGAGGCTAACTGTCTCCCATGGTCAGGAGCCCACGCCTGCTAGGTCTTTCATGTCACATCATTCCATGCCAGCAGCAGAAGCACAGGGCAGCTCAATGCAGCCTCGGGCATTTTCCGTCTGCATTAAACCATCTGCAGTGGGAGAGCCCTCGAGTCTGCTCACCTCACGCAGTCGCACTGGGGACTAATTTGCAGCACAGGCCTTTGGGGGTCCCTTAAAGTTACAGCACCACCTCAAGTCCATAGTCCCCTTCCCGTTGGTGAAGGGGCCTCAGCATTAGCTCATCTGTGGCCTGCTGCTGACGTCACTCGGTTGTCCCCCTGGCTGGTCAGGAGGTAGAGCGGCCTCTACTTACACCTGTCTGGTGTTGGAATGGTAATGCATGTCCTGTTGGCCAAAGTCAGACATGCGGCCAGGTGGGGTTTGCAGCAGGACAGATGACAAGGAACACTGGACAGTGACCACATGGCTCTGGCAGCTTGTGCCTGAGCTTCAGTTTGCGCATCCATAAGTCTGGGTTTCAGATAGTCCCTGCTCACCCAAGAAGTGCGAGAGACTGGATGAGGTGAGGAGTGTTAAGCCTTTGATCCAGTGAGCTGGCGCATGTGAGAATGCTGATGGACAAGGGCCTGGCCCGCCCCTATCTTCTGAGAGCCCTTATCCCCCCAGCTCACCCTAGACTCTGCCAAGAGGTAGTCCTGGATGCAGACCATTCTTCTCCAGCTTGTCAACTGAAAGCTGGATATGCGGAAGAGGACCTCAGTGAGCAGGACTTTGCTCGGCCCCGTTATTGGTGCCCCCTTGTGGGCCTTCTGGGGCATCTTGAACAGGGCCAACTTCTGTAGTTGGTTGGTTCACTGGTAATGCTTTGCACAGGATTTAAAACCTGCATGCTCACCAACAACTGGCTGGATGACAGAGCCCAGAGAGGTGAGCTGGCCCAGATGATGTGTGAGCTGAGCCCGCACTTTGACCTCCTGTTGGAGTCGTGCCAGGTCGGGATGCTCAAGCCTGAGCCACAGATCTACAAGCTTGTCCTGGACACCCTGAAGGCCAGTCCCAGTGAGGTACGTAGATGCTTCTGCTCCGGAGACAGGACTATATACCCAGATATACCACAACCAGACACGCTGAGGAGTTTATGTTTGGGGTCTGGCAGAACAGTTCTCAATATATTTTTCCCAGGCTAGGACTTCTCCTAAAGGATTTTTTTAACCCATTTTTCAGTCCAGAAAGTTCTACCAGAGGTGAGCATCTGGCCTCTGTGGATGTGTCTTTTGTCAGATTTTGGTCAAAGCAAGTATGATCAAAAGCTATTAGACTAGCACTCTCCATTTACTAACAGAGATAGAGATGCTGGGAGATTTCGCTGCAGTCACAAAGCTACGTAAGATCACTCCATTGGGGACAAGCAGGGCCAGGTTCACATAAGCTCTAATGTTCAAATGGTGGTTGGACCACAACTTAATTCTTTTCTTCACATTCTGCCCTTGTTTTGCTCCTCAGGACAAGCCCTGAGCCCTGTCTCTGGTCCCTTCCTGCCCAGCCCCAGGGCCACAGCCTTTCTTCTAGGAGATACAGCTTCGGGCTTAAGGGCATACGCATACACCAGTCTTCTTTTTCTTGGCTTTGGGTAGATGAGTTGCTCAGAATTTGGCCCCTGTCCTAGATTATAAATAAACACATTCATGCTTTCTTCTATAACTTTTAAGGTCTTTTTATCCTTCTTTTCAAGTTTAAATCTTTGATCCATTCAAAATTTATTTTGGGATAAAATGTGAAGCAGTGTTCTACTTTTTTCCCCGGTTAACCAACCAAGGCCATTCAGTAACCTTCCTCACTGGCTCCTTTATTAGAAACTAAATTCTCTTTTGTATTTGAGTCTACATTTAGACTCCCTTATACTTCACAGGTATTTCTGTTCCTTTTCGAATACCAGACACTTCTGCTTTTTTGTAGGTTCATAATTTGTTTATTACCTGCCATCACAGAGTTTTTCACAGGCACCTTTGTAGCTGTCGATTTTTCTGCATGAGTTTTAATACCCTCTGCATGAGCTCATATCCTTCCCAGTCTTTTTGGAGCTGCACAACTGGCTGCAACCAGTAGGTGAATGGGGACTTTTGCAGGCCTATCTGTGCGCTTATGTAATTAAGTGTTTCTAATTCTAAGAGTAAGTGAAAACACTCAGTAGAATATCTGCATCGTAAAATCTCTCCTCTGCACTTACTATTTCTTCCTGAGGATTCCTCCCTTTCTGTCACATGAGCATCTTCTGAGTGACAACCACACTGTTTCCCATGTAGGTTGTTTTCCTAGACGACTTTGGGTCTAATCTGAAGCCCGCTCGGGACTTGGGAATGGTCACCATCCTCTCCCGTGACACCGACGCAGCCCTGAAGGAGCTGGAGAAAGTAACCAGGGTGCAGGTAATGTCCTGTGTGAGCAAAGCGGGGCTTCCCTGCTCCCCCTGTGTCAGTGAGAGAAAGCGTTGAGCAGCAGGCCAGAGTTCTTGGTGCCCCGGGCTCAGTACAGGATCCCCCGGGCTCAGTGCAGGATCCCAGGTGCCTCCATAGGGGGCCGCTTGCCCAGCTGTGGAGAACACAGTGCCCTAAAGATCACCTTGTCCCTTCCTCTGCTGTCAGGGAACAGTAAACGCTCAGCACAAGCATTTAAACTCCTCTGTGTCTGAAGAACCAGACAAGAATAAGGCAGGCCTTCACCTTGCTCTTTAGAAATTCTCTTATAAAATTCTTTCTTCTTCCCTCTCCTTTTCCTTCTCCTATTCTTCCTCCTCTTCTTCTTCCTCCTCTTTCTCTTCACCTTATCTTTCTTCTTCTCTTTATTTCCCTTCTCCTGTTTCTTCTTTTTTGTTCTAAGACATGTGTTGTCCAGGCTGGTTCTGACCACCTGGACTCAAGGGGTCTCCCTGCCTCAGCCTCCTAGATAGCCAAAACTAAAGGTACGTTACACTGCATGAAAATACTTCCTGTGAAGACCACGGTCCTTAGCTGGTCTGCAGGGCATGCCACCCATTCAGCCCTACCTGGCCCACATTGGCCACCTGACAGACAGAGGGCAGCTCTTATGTAGCAACTGGGCCTCACCCAGGAGGACAGAGCAGGCTTAATGGTGCCCCTGGGCTGCCAGGGGACCAGCCGGCACCTCAAGTAGAGGCACCTGTCCTCTGCCTTGCCCTGAGGTCTGGGCTCACACGGAGCCTACAGGGCAGACCTTCTCCAGCTCTGCACTGGCGTAGGCCCTGGCTCCTGGGGGATGAGGGCAGAGGAGACCAGGGCCCTGGCTGTGTTCTCAGTAATCCCTGTATAGGAGCCCTGGCCTCGGCACCCACAGATCGTGCCTGTACTTGGAGATAGGGTTCTTGAAAGAGGAGGTTAAATTAGAATGAAGTCAGGGGTGGGCTCCTACCCAGTCGGCTAGAGTCCATGAAAAAAGAGGAGGTAACGTCCAGATGGGGGCAGAGGACAGACTGTGTGAAAACACGGTGAGGTGACCAGCTACGGCTAAGGTGAGAGGCCTCAGGAGAAACCAGCCCGCCTGTGCCCCCAGAGCTATGAGCAAAGAAATGTTGAAGCTGCCCAGTCTGTGGTGCTTGGTGATAGCTCCTGAGCAAGCAAACACCAACGCCCCTGGGAGTTCCATTTTGGCCTAGTGAAGGACACATGTTCCCCAGAGGCACACGGTGCTGGGGCAGCAGCTGCCTCGTGAGCTGCCGGCTATCTGAGGAACTGCTGTGGAGACAGTGCTGTTTCAGTTGGCACCTCAGGGGTTTTGAGCATGCATTGCTCCTTTCTTGTATGAAAAAAGCCAGGACTTTCTCCTGCCTTCCCTCAGGGACAGTGATTGACACAGATTCCGCTATTTTGGGCTTGGGGCCTCCGAGGTCACACCACACACCTGGCCAGAAGAGGGAGGGCCACAGAATGTAGAGAACCTGGTTTCACAACCAGGTTGGGAGGTTGCATTTCGATGGCCAGAACCCATTCACAAGAAGGGAGGCAGGAGATGGGAGCCCAGCTTTCCCAGAAGGGTGGGGTTACCAGCAGCGCTCAGGAAGCTAAGGCAAAGGTGACCCTGGGCTGTCTCACAGGAGTCCTACCCTCTCTCAGGGAATGGCTCCTGGGAGGAAGTGCTCTACCGCTCTATCTCTACTTTGTACTTCTAGCTCCTCCAAATTGCAGCCCCTGTGCCAGTCGCTTGCAGCCCCAGTGACATGAGCCATGGGTATGTGACCGTAAAGGTAAGTCCCAGAGGATGCCTACAGAGGCATTTGTGGATGCCCACCATCTTCCAGGAACAACATTTCCTGTGAGTCTCATTCGTTAGAACTTGATAGGAGACAGGCTCCCTACCTCAGATGCCCTACCCCTATGACTTGTTAGTCCAACCCCATGGAACGGCAGGCCAAGGGGCCTTGAGAAGCCCAGCACACCGAGGTCTGGGCATATCTGGCCTGTGTTCTGGGTCCTAGAAAATATTTCATTCAAGTATTTAGGGAGCACTCTGTGTGCCAGGCATGGGCTGGGTACTGAAGGGCAGCAATGAACAGGGAAACCACGGGGCACTACAGGAGAAGGCCACTATAGCGCCAAGCAGCCAGGGGCATGGTGCAGCCCGGGCTGTGTGCACCAGGCCCCGAATCCTGACCAGGCCAGCCCATCTGTGCAAGAGCTCAGGGGGTCTTCATGGCATCCCTTGAGGACTTTTCTCCCTTTGCCTTTGGCTCCACATAAACGGATGGAAAGCAATCTACAGCGGCTGCATCACTGCGAGTGTCCTGGTAGGACTGAGGGTAGCAAAGCCTGAAAATAATTCCTATTTCAGAAACAAATAGCTTTAGGCAGCATCCCATATCAATGGAATTGTGCACACTACCATGAATATTATGGTCTGTTTTGCCGGCACACAACCAGATGCCAGCAAAACAGCAAGCGGAACCCTTCCAATCAGGAGGTGGTTTGGAGAGGAAGGCCACCTCGGTCTTTCTGTAGATACCTACCCCATGCCCTTCGTGTCACAGGGAGAGCACAGATCAGCCAGTGTCCGTGCCCAGCCAACTTCATCTACACTGAGGTCTTTTGCTGAGAAAGCTGGGTCACATGAGATCTGGTGGCCCAGTGATGTGGCCCTGGCCAGGTCTGCAGAGGAGTGTCCACTCCATCTGGCCTGACAGAGCCATGGTGGTCACTGCCTCTCCCCTCTTTCCCGGCAGCCTGGAGTTCGTCTGCACTTCGTGGAGCTGGGCTCTGGCCCTGCTGTGTGCCTCTGCCATGGGTTTCCTGAGAGTTGGTTCTCTTGGAGGTACCAGGTAAGGGAAACTAAGGGAGACCAGGCCACCCCAGCTGGGGAGAGAGGAGAAGAAACTGATCCTTGGCGGCACCCTTCGCCACCTGCTAGGAAAGCGTTGGAGTGAGTATAGACATCTGAGAGGGCTTTGCCAGCAAAGGGGCACTCCTAAGTACCTGTGGCCCAGATGCAGGGCACAAACCCCGCCACTGTTTACGGCATCCCCAGCAGCCAGGTTCCTTCCAGCACCATGGTGAAGAGGCTGGGTAGTGCAGTAGGGTATGTGGGATGGAGCCATTGGCAGGAAGAGGGACAGGGAGAAGCAAGCACATGATGTCAGCTTGCACTGTGCGACCATGCCGCAGCGTGCCTGTTTGCTTTCCAGATCCCTGCTCTGGCCCACGCAGGCTACCGGGTCCTAGCGATGGACATGAAAGGCTATGGCGACTCATCCTCCCCTCCTGGTAGGTTGATGTCCTGCAGCTGGTCTGTGTGGTCCTGTGTATGCCCGTCCCCATGCTTCACCTCCTGCATGGTGCTGTCCCAGGGCAGGGCAGGGCAGGGCAGGGCAGCTTGTCTTCCAGGGGTCCCTTGCCTTCCCTGCAGTGTCTGGTGTCACTGCACTTTGGGTCCCAGATGTTCCCCAAAGAAGTTGAAGACCCATTCCCGAGGGAGCCTCATCCCAGCCAGTGTTGTAGGACATGAGCAGCACCACACTTCTCCAGAAATTTTCTTACCTTGCAAGACTGAAAGCTGAATTCATTAAGTAACAACTCAGTTGCTTCCCCCCCCCCCAGCATCTGCAGCCCACGTTCTACTTTGTCTCTGTGGGTTTGAACCTTCCAGGTCCCTGTCAGGGGTGCAAACATGCAGCGCTTGCACCTTGGGCCTGGTTTAGCTCACTTGGCGTGCTGTGCTCCGGGGTCTCCGTGAGCTCGTGTGTTGCTGGCTCCCTTCTTGGTTAAGCTGAATGCTGTTTCATTGTGAGCATCTACCATATCCATTCATCCACCAAAGAGCTCTAGGGCTGCTTCCGCCTTCTGGCGACCTTGCATAGTCCTACTGTGAGCACAGGGTGCACATACCTACTCAGTTACTACGTTCTGACTTTTAGGGTATGTGTCCAGAAGTAGAATGACTGGATTATGTGGTGATTTAGAGGATGGGTTCTTAAGGCATTGTCTGTGGGTCCCAGTGGGAATCTACCCAAGGATGGGCATTTGGCACCCACAGCCCCTGAGACCGCAGACAGGCTAGCGACCCCTTTCCTGGTGAGAGGAGTCCTTTAGAGGTGTCCTCAGCACAGCGAGTGTGATCCTCACCTTGGAGGCAGGCATGCAGAGCAGCCAGGCGTGGGCATGTTTCCTAGGCGCTCTGAGCGTCAGGGATGGGGTTGGTGCAGGCTTAGTGAGCCACACCCCCTGCCAGCCCTGTGATCACACCCAGCGCATCTGGCTGTGGCGTCTGTTGACTTGGCCTTGGCCCCGAGCACGTCGTGTTAGGGGCGCCGTCCCCTCAAGGTGGTGATGGTGGCCCAGCCTACCAGGCCTCTTGAATAATGCAGCACTTTAGATGAATGGTCAGCCTCCAGCTCAGCCATCTGGGGAGGCCAGCTAAGGGCTTCCAGTTTGTAATTTAACCATTAAAACATTTTATTTTTATTCACCTATAGCTCAGCCTTCTGGGAATGTCACAGGCACAGCTTGTAATACCATTTAGTGGGGGGCTGGAGAGATGGCTCAGTGGTCTAAAGCACCTACTTGGAACAAGCTTGGCAAAGCACAGGGACCGCGGTTCGATCCTCCAGCACCACATGCCAGCCAGCCGCGCCCCCTGGTGGGCTGAGCTGGCCACACACACACACACACACACACACACACACACACACACACACACACAATAAATAAATAAATGTTTAAAAAAAATACCATTTAGTGTGGACACTAGCACATTATAAAAAGGGAACAATCCACGATTAACGTGTTAGTACCCCTTGAACTGGAGCTGTCCTGCACAAACTGCGACTGTGGGCTCGCCCTAACGTGTTCACATTCACATTTCTTTCTCTCTCCCTTCCTCTCTCTCTTTTTTCCTCTCGCCCCCGCTTTTCTTTCTCCATCTCTTCCTTCTTTCCATACACATACTCTCTTTTGGAAAACCATAATCTGAATATTACTTATTGCTGAAAGATTAAATATGAGTTCTAAAAGCAAGCATCATGATTTGGAATATACAACATGTCCATCTCTGAAAACTTACATGCACATTTCGTATCATTTCATGATAGACTTTAGGCTTAAAATTCTTTTTTTATAAAATTTTGAAGCCCCTGTGCCACTTACTAGAAGCTTCTGCTGTTGCTGTGAAGACATCTCTCGGCCATTGGTCTATGAATCTTCCTATCTAGTCTTTTTTTCCCCTTAGTTTTGACACTATTAGGATCTTTTATTTACTTGTTCTGTGTTCTGAAATTGTATGATGTTGTGCTCCAACATAGGTCTTTCCCATTCATTTGGTGAATATAAATATCGCTCAGTTCTTAGAACTTTTGTTAAATTAATTCTTTGAACCACTTCTTCTGTTTTTCTCTATTTTTAATTCTTGCCTTTTCTTTTTGCCTTCTAAAATTGCTATTACTGTTAAAATGTTCCTACTC